GTGCCGTTTTCAAAATTCCGCCTGGATCGCTCCTAAGGATGTGCCCGTAGTAGATGAGCCTTGTGGAGCCTACTCTCTTGTGGACGCTCTTCGTGATCATTGTTCAAGAACGTGTGTGGATCATGGTCTTCCAATTTTCTTCACCTCCGAGATTCCATATCCCAAAGGGCTTTCCTGATAATCTGTTAGGATGGTTCTGTTTTTATGAAAATAAAATGATGTTCTATCCGTCTAGCATGGCTATATGTTGATCCAGCGTGCAGATTGTGTTTTCTTCAAAACTTCATCGCCTTGATCTAAAGAAAAGAAAATCGCCACTCGAGCAAGCCAAATTCAAAGTGATGTCTCAAATCAATATTTTATGTTTTTTTTTTATTTTTGCGCCCATTTAGAAAAACAATTCAACTACACAATTTTTTAATTTTGGCTATTAGTTAAATTCCAACAAACTTTTGGTCCACTACAACACAACTGGCATCACTAGAGTGCATCTTTTAAAATGTAAAGATACAGACAAGCCCTGGAGCGTGGTTGCAGTTAAGCAATCCTCAAGGTTATGCCAATGCCCAAGGCCTTACATCATCCTCATCATTCTTTGGAACGTTAAACAGTTTGGCATTGGACAGTGTTAGTATGTAGTGTAGTTCAGGAGATCCCGTTAGACTGACTTCGAAAGTAACCGACAGATGATCCATAACCGGCCACAGATTTCGTCATGTTGAACAATTTGAACTTCCACGACAAAATAGATGGAATATTTGAGTATCTGGGTAATGGATGTATAATCCAAAACGAGCCGCTTCCTGATACAGTATATTGCCTGCTTTGTTGCCCGTTGAGCAGTTCCAGAAGCGATGCCTAGCGTTGAAGTCGCCGACGACGAAGAAAGGATCGGTTCGATTGCACAATTCTGACCATTGACACCGCCTACCTCCAGGAAAGTAAGCAGCTGTAATGTGACACCTGCAGCTTCAATAACCTTAGTAGGAATGTTGAGTTGACTGAACACCTTTACGCACAGCTAGAAGCACTCCTCCTCCTCTATCAGACTTTCTTCTTGAACAGCGGTCGAAGCGAATGGATGCAGAAATGAGCTGTTCGGGTGCAGCCAAGCTTCTGTCACGACTGCTACGTATATATGTTGCGTTGCTGTAATAAGTCGAAAATCTCGGAACGTTTGTTGTGCATGGATCTACCATTCCAGTTTACCAAAGTTAGTGTGGTTGAACTAGACATTTTAAACGTACTTGATTCTTAGCTCCAATAGGGCCAGAAATTGATGTTGCTTCGTGCGACCGCCTTCCAGATGCATGAACAAATCCATTGCCATTGCGGTAAAACCTCCAGCGGCGATTGGCTTCCAATTTTTAGATACAGTCCTTGCGGCTAGGGCATCCTAGAAATTTGGTTCTAGCGGATTTGGCTTCGTGAGTTTTGTGCGTCCTTAAGGTTGGCTTTCGCAGGGAGGTTGCAGCTGGATGTTATGTGTTCACACACAGCGGGGTGACAAAGCAGTTCCACATCGCATGTCCAAGTCTTTGGCAACGGTGACATTGTACAGCATCCGTAACTCGTCTGTAGAAGAATCTCCATTTCACTATCACATTAAACAGAGCTTTGATACACTTTCTTCTGGTCCTATCTTCTTTTGTGAAAATGTGTTCACGTCTGATGGCTGTAGACCATTGGTCTCTAACTCACCCTTTAGCTCGAATAACTCGAACATTGGTAGGCCAGGGAGGATGATGCGCAATGGTTGCTTGCTTTCTGGGGTGAACTTGAAAACTCCAAATTTGATTGACGAAGTGCAGAGAATATGATTTCAACAAAGTTGGCTGAAGACATAATTTGCCTAGCTCTTCATTTGACCGTGTTAGAGTGACTCTTCGGTTTTCAATTTGGGCGCCCTTAAACATAAAAGAACAACGTCTTAGTGGACTATACTGGGGTGCAAATCACAACAATGTGTGGCGAAATAGTGTTAGGTTTTGAACTCTTGTAACTTTGTCATTTATAGATGAAATTTAAATCCAAATACGCCAATCGATAGGAAATAACCCTACGAATCTGTTGAAATAACTACTTTTTCAATTTTCCATGAAGATACTTTTGAAAAATGTAAAAATGATAATTTTATCACTATTTTCATGAACTAAACATTTTCCCCAAACCCAGTTGTCATAATCGAGTACCACTTGGCTGCAAGCAGGAGCTAGAGGTAGATTTTCACCCTCTCAGATCGTCGTGCTGAAGCGAAAAGTTTCAAAAAATGGTATAAATAAGATAGGTTAACTATTGAAAAATTATCAAAGTTTTAAGTTGCAATCAACCAATCACGTGCTCGCTCGCTGTGACTATCGAGAGAGACAGAGAGACGAGCCGATTGCGCGAGGTTATGGAGGACACTCGACATACCTTTAGACGCTATCGAAAGTCGACTTGAATGACTCGTTCCAATGTCGAAATTGCCACCAAATGGAAGGATTCCAGCAAAGATGTTCAGATGGTCAAGGCCTATTAAATGGAGGACAGTGAAAGTTGAGCGGCTCAAGAGTACCATTTAGCTATGTATTGTTTGCTTCAGTGTTGGGAAAATATCAAAAAAATAAATCTCACCAACGCCCAAGATCACGCTTGATTTTCGTAGACAAAAATCAACAAGCAAACAACTGCGGTTGATTTTGCAAGCTGTGATATCGCAGCTCGGAATATCAAGCTAATAAAACTCAACCACTGCAAATCTCACCAAACTGTGGTGAGATTGAGTTTAATGATTTTTGCTTTAAACCCGAATGCAACCGAAACTTGCATAACGGCTTGCAGCAGTCCCTTCGCGTCTGCCATCGGTGAAGATTAAAAAGAGATAGCAAACTATGCTTTCTGTTTCTAAGAAAACAATGTGCAATGGAATCATTTTTGTGTTGAGTCAACTCTCAGCTTGATGTTTGCATGTTGTGAATAGTCTCGCAATATCAAAGGAGCTTGTAAAATCAATATCAAGCATGATATTTGTTGCCCATGAGAGCGGAAAAATATCAATTGATTTCTGATTTTGCCAACACTGGTTGCTTTAAATTAACATCTGCATTAGATAGAAGATTGTGGTCTTTGGCAAATTGGCTCAGACGGAGGACTACGTTTTCGTCGAGAGTAAGGGGTACCATTTCATCATAGCAGCGTCACGTGTAAGATAAACGTATCATTTGAATCAGATTAAGGAGATTTTTAGCCAACTGACTAGTTATCTCCATATTTGGTGTAAACAAATTATTGAAAATTACAATTAGAATTGTTTATTACTAGTTAACTACTGAAAATTTGTCAAACTTGCTAGCTTGCCATGACCATCGAGTGGAGACAGGCATTGCCGATAGCAAATCCCTATCACGGACGTCAATCTCAGATACCAAAACATTTATGTTGAAAAGTTGAGATACATAGTATTATTATTATTATTTAGCTTTATTAAGGAGGCTTTCAGCCTTGGGCTGGTTCGCCTCCAAGATACATAGTACAGTATCCGATAGATTTTGGCAACACGATTTCAATGTCTTTAATTTGCTTGTACTCCGCAGTTCCCTACAACTCCAACTCTATATTCCTTAGATAGTCAGGAAGATTGTGAAGCTTTGGATATGACCGGATAATCAGGTTTGTAATTATTAAAATTTGACGAAAGATGTGTTGCCAAAATCTAACGGGTTCTGTATGTATTTGAAGACTGCATATTTTTAGGTAAGAATTACCCATAACTTTTCAGTGTAAAAAAAAAGTTATAAGTGCCCTAATTGAAAACTAAAAAATTACTAATTACTTAAATCAAGAGCTAGACACATGGCGCCTTCAGCAAAGTTACTTTACATTTTCTACAACTTTGTCGATCAATGCAGGCATCTTAATAATTTTATTTATAGAGGACTAAAAAATAAATATAACATGAAATTTAAAAAAAAATACATGATTTTCGGAATGGTTTTTCTCACCGCCACCAACGAATAAATAACAGTGTAAACATTTCTTTCCTGCTAAATTGCCGCTTCGGACCATCATAGTTGCCAATTGCTTTTTGAAGTGTTTCCTAAATAATTATACACGCTGCATTCATTGCTAAAACAAAACTCAATGAAGCTTAAAATTTACATACTCTTTCAAGCAAAATCGATAAATAATATTCAAACAAACCCGTTGATTGACTTCTGTGGCTACTGCCAGTGGTTATGTTTACCATCGGCCCTCACAATCAGTTAAGGGTGTTCCCGAAGTAAACCGATAACTCAAGCTCAACAAACAACGCGCATAGACACACTCACATAAACAAACTACTGAAACGAGAGCAGGTTTCCTTAGAGCTTAGAGATACCAAGGGCAACGGACTGTATCATACAATCAAATTTAGAAAACAGAATCTAAGGTCACGCAAAGAGCCCAATCTTATCACGCCCTCTGTAGTAAAAACGTTTGCACACACACACACACAGAAACATGCACACGTACACACACGGATTATCCCAGACTGCATTGATCGAATATGCTCAAGTGGGATAAGTTATTTCCTTTTTGCTGTCCGTTTCTCCGACGTCGACGTATCAATGTAACTGTTTTTTTTTTTAAATATCGAATACGAATGAATATGGGGACAGCAATGTAAAAATGGCAGACAATTGTCTCTTGTTATTCTGAGCATTGTATACGGTTATAACTGGGGGAATTCGTTCTCGATGATGATTCATAATATTATTACTAGTACCTAGTAGGTATGTAGCTATGCGATTTCGAGATATATGTTTGTGGCATAAACGCGCGGCTATGTTAAAAGGGCCGTGATTAAGAATTGCGTTGTAAATCTTCAATACACTCGTCAGCAAGCAACGAAAGTGCTACGCCACGTGGTGGGTATATGGAATCACATTCACAAACATACGTCCGTATACTATTGGCTCATTGTTTCTCACGATGCGTGGGACATCGCGCGAGAAAGAGTAGAAATTCGAGTCTCTTACCTTCGCTCGGCTGGCTACTAAAGCTAGAATTTAGGGCATTGAAGCTTGTTGCAGCGCCAGTATTACCACCGCCGCTGGTTCCTGATCCGAGTGCTCCTAGGAGGGTACTACCACTACTACCGGCACTACTGCCACCCAGTAGCCCCCCTCCGACACCGACACTGGCAGATACATCATCGACGGGATTTCCGACACTGGCGGACAATAGCGATCCAAAAAAGGAACTCCCCGCACCGGGAGAGCCCAACGTTGTGGCTGCCGTCAGCGCCGTATGGTGCCCTTTTGGGGTGTAGGTAAAGTTATGCGTTTCGCTCTTCTTGCCCGCGGAAACGATGAATATTTGTACTACTATGGGTTCCAGAATATCCTGACTAACGTATGGCGGGACCGTGCAAATCAGGTGAGTCTGTAACGGAACGCGGGATAATGATTAGCCACTCGTTCGGAACGCCTTTGGGTGATACTTACCTGTTGGAGGTATTCCTTGTCCGGAATGACCGTCTGCTCCCACGGCATGACATTGATCGAGGTTTTGCTGGAGGAGCTGGCCCCGAGCGGAGCCTTGCGCCGCTGAAACACCACCTTGGTATCTTTTAGGAAGTTTTTGCCGACTATAAACATTTCGAGACCACCCTCGGCCGGACTGGAGACTAGAGATTTCTTGCAGATTTCCGGCACGCCAGGCGGTTGAGCTGCAACGGGATAAGTTAGAAAAAAACGGAAGTTCTTAGCACCCAGAATACAAGCTTTAAGATTTGGGGAAATGTTTTCACTAATGGGAAACGACAAACGAGTTGCCAACAGCAAGCTTCCCGGAATGATGTGCTTGAGTCGGTTCGTAGCAGCTTTGTCATCGATTTCTTGAATGTCACACACTTCCTAGATATTGGTCCACAGCCCGGATTTCGAAAAAGATCGAAGAAAGGAATGTTTACTTCGGTATTTGAGTAATTCTCGTTGAAACCAGGCAGCCATTGACACTTGGTCTTTAAATATATAAATATTTCCGCTTGATTGGTCGAAACTGATGGAAAACATGAGATTGTCACTTTCCTTAGTTCAAATTAATGGACCCCTCGCTCGCCAAGGGTCCTTACAGTTTTCAAAATAGTGGAATTTCTAGCAATATTTAACATATTATATTTATCTTTCAAATTTCATATGGAACCCTCCTACAAACAACATGTTATTATGAAGAGGAAGGACAGAGCTTTCATTCGGAACGGAAATTTTTTGGCGGCCATCTTCAATTTGGTCGCCATATTGGATTTTATCAGAAAAACGTATTTTCCACAAATCCAATATCGCGGCCGCAAATGGCCGCCAAAAAAACTTCATAACAGCGTGTTGTTTGCAGGAGGGTTCCATATGAAATTTCAAAGATTAACCATGACAGATTTATCAGGAATTGCTAGAAATTCCACTTTTTTGAAAACTGTAAGACCCATTGGCAAACGGGGGGTCCTTTAATTAGAACTAAGGAAAGTGGTTATCTCAGTTTTTCATCAGTTTCGACCAATCATGCGAATATATTTAAATATTGTATGTCAATGGCGGCCTGGTTTCAACGAGAATTACTCATTTATAAGAAATCTTAAATGGCAATATTCCCTTCGTTATCAAAGTTTTCAAAGAAGACAGTATTTAGGTATTCTCATCTTTAGGGTTTAGGGTCATTAGGTCAAATTGATTATTACCCTGCGCTTTGGTCAGAGAGCGAATAGGGCATCGTTGTGCCAATTTGGTCGTGGGGCATTTCGAGTAAGAGAGAGTGATTGCAGTTAGATCAAAAGTGCCTGAGAAAAATGCAAGTACTTTCGCAGATTACCCGAAGTTGCGATAGTGAAGGTATGATCACAGACAAGCAGACATAGCATTCTTAAAATGTTCATCGAAATCGCTTTTAACGGTCAATTTAAATGTTTTTAGTTGGTAGTACCATCAGTTGAATGTATACGACAGATGGCGGTAGTGTTTAATATGAGAAATGTTCAATGTGTTATTTCTGTTTGTCTGTGTTATAATATTGAGATAACGTTAAATAAAATCCAAACATTGAGACATATAACGCATCCCTTTCAGAAATATTTCACTTCGCATCCGATGGACCATTCTGACGGCCATATGAGTACCCAAGTAACCATACAGCCGCAATATAGCTTGTATATACTTACTTTGCTTGAGTATGGTTAGTTGGGGAATCCGATAAAGCTGTCACTTCTTTAAAGTAATACCTTTCGTATTTCTTTCATTCTCTTTTCGCACTTTGCATATAGGGGAATTTACGTATTCTCGGCAACCTAAGCAGCGACCTTCTTTATATAGCCTTTTTCTCTATGGAACGCACACATATGCAGTATTGGTTTGTTTACAATCTTTTGCTGCCAGCTGCTCTAACAATTTCAGTCGAAAGAATTGCCAAAAACTGTTTTGAAACGCTTTTACAAAGCTCCAATCTTCTCTAGTGAGAGCGAGTATTGTCGGCAACCAGTTTTTCTTCGGCAACCGTTCCATTTGAACTGCATGTAAATTTGCTGTTCTATTATCGGCAACTCGAAATCAGCTACAATTTGTAGAGCGTGTGTTTCATTTCAAGAAAACCCTGCTAGATTGCTTTTTTTCAGTGGTAAAAATATAGTCAAATTGAAGCTGAAAGCATAAAGAATCGTTTGCATGCATTCAGCGAAGTGTTTTCGTAAGAAAATCCAGTTAAAATAGTGTTTCAATTTGGGTTGCCGAAAATAGTCGGTCATGCCGAAGCCGTCATGTCCCCTACAACCATCTCATACTAATCTCTACATTGACTCAATGATGTACGGACCGCTCATTCCGAGTGATCGGTGGACCAGCGACTTTAGACCAGATGACCATGGCAGTGCAAGAAGTTTTCGTTGAAGGGCGTATCACAACAAAGGTAATTGGTATTAGATATTTTTGCAGACAGTGACAGATGGTGGACATGAAGATCCAGTGGAGGTACCAAGCAAAGGTGTTAAATCCTAGACAAATGGTAAGTTCCAAGTTCGCTGTTTTCGTCATGGTATTTACCGTCAACCGCAGAAACTATGAATTATCGCGTATCAATGTTGTTCATTACACCAAGCGGAAGCTCAATCATATTTTGTCGTGAAGTGTTATGGTTTTGAGATGCTCGATTACCCTGGAGGGATCGTTTTTGCTTACTGAGCAGAAAATCATGGGTAGTATTTCATTCTTATATTCTACATATTTTCATATTACCATACAAGTTCATTGGGTAGGTTGAGGATTGAAGCGATTTGGATGGGGAGAGTGGAATTGCCACCTCCCTGTTGTTAACATTTCGTGAACTGAAGGTGGGCTCTTCTCCCCACTCATTGGGACATCTCCTTGCATGATGGCTTGTTCTGTATCGGGTTGGAACATTGTTATCATTGGAAGGACATTCTTCTTGCTCCCGTGGATCACGCGTTAGTTTTTCTGCGTACGGGTCTTCCCTCCGTTTTTGGCCCTTCATACAATGGTAAATTGAAAACAACCAGGAATCGTACTTGATCAAGACATACGAGGTGGACAGTCTACTGTCTAATGGTGGTATCCTTGATATAAAATACGTACATACATTAGGCCAAATGGATGATTAGGCCGAAAGTGTTTGGGCCGAATGGTTCATAAGGCCGAATTTTGAAAAGTGAAAATTCGAACTTTTGGATTTCCTTGCAACAATTTTCAACACTCTGGAACTGTCTGAAAAGGGACACTGTGCAATTTCAATCCCAATCATTTTTTTCCCTTGGATTTGTTTTCTGTCGATCTTGTTTTCCGTGCTGAGCACCAATGCTACCGACGCCAGGAAGGCAGCTCCCACACCTGGACCCTACCTATCGACCCATCAACTCATGAACCGGGGACCAACGGCTTTACTTCCCATCCGAAGGAAGGCGTGATCAGAGATGTTATGCCTCGGAACATCCCGGCGGCGCCGACTGGGATTGAACCCAGGCCTGCTGGGGTGAGAGGTAATCACGCTTACCATTACACCACCAGCGCCGCTAATCCCAATCATTTCAACTACACAAAATTAGCTGTCTAAAATCTTCATATAGAGATAAATTTATATTTTCTTCCCAAGTAACAATTTTGGTTTTATGAGGGTTCTGTAGACCATGATTTAGACTTGTAGAATGCTATAAAACCGCAATAAATGTTACTTGCGTTAAGATTAAATGGGATTTTCATGAACACGTTGATCAGTTGAAGGTCTTTAGAACAAGTCCCAGTTTGATCAGACAATATCTGTAGGACTTTATTAGATGTTTTGATCAGTTGTTTTTCTTCATAATAATTCCGGATAATCCTGATATCTACCTATACTGCCTACAATCCCATATCAGTCCCATATTAAAAAAGTAGGCATTGAGAAAATGGCAGTTGAAGTTACGAAGTGCAATTCCCATGTGAATATTTGAAAAATCATAATAAATAAAGAGATTCAGTACATTCTGAAGTAATTCACAACTTTTCCAAATTTTGTCAATACTTACCGAAGGGATTCAAAACAATTCTGAAGTGATGAAATACTTTTCAAAATGATGGAAATCATTTCTGGAGTGATTTAGTACGTACTGCCGCTATTCGCATAACAGTCCCATGTCCTATGGATTTCCTATCTACATAGGACTGTTATGCGAATAGCGGCAGCGTAGTACTTAGTAGATACTATTTCAATCATTTTGAAAAGTCCTGCATCACTTCAGAATTGTTTTGAATCACTTCCGAACGTACTGAACAACTTAGGAAAAGTTAAGATTTTTTTCAGAGTTTATTGGATCACTTTAAAAAAGTTTGGAATAGCTCCATAAAAAATTCGGATTGCGTTCGGAAAGTACTGATCAGTACATAAAGGTTCGGAATCACTTTGGAAAGTACTGCATCATTCCAGAAAAGTGTATAATCATTTCTGCAACTTCTGAATCACTTCCAAAATTTTCGGAATCACTTCGGAAAGTACTGAGTCATATCAGAAAGTACTGAATCAGTTCAGGAATGTTTGGGATCACTTCGGAAAGTACTGAATCAGTTCAGAAATGATTTCAATTGTTTTAAAAAGTCCTACATAACTCCAGAATTGGTTTGAATTACTTCGGAAAGTACTGAACGAATTTCGAAAAGTCCGGAAGTTCTTTAGAATTTACTTAACTACTTCAGAAAAGTTTGGAATCACTTCATACAATTTTGGAGTACGTTCGGAAGTACTGATCAGTTCATAAAAGTTCGGAATGACTTTGGAAAGTACTGCATAATTCCAGAAAAAACATGTAATCATTTCTTCAAGTTCTGAATCAGCTCAGGAAAGTTCGGAACCACATTGAAAAGTATTGAATCATTTCAGAAAGTACTGAATCACTTCAGGAAAGTGTGTGGTCACTTCGGAAAGTACTGAATCACTACAGGAATGATTTCAATCATCTTGAAAAGTCCTGCATCACTTCAGAATTGTTTTGAATCACTTTAGACAGTACTGACCAACTTACGAAAAGTACTGAACATCTTAGAAAAAGTTGAGAATTAAAGGGTGATACGGTCAAAATTTGGTCAAGGGAAAACGCGTGTAAATCGGTGAAATCGTTTATTTAAAAAAATCAAATTAAATTTCTTTTTCAAGTTCAATTAGTATAAAATTCAGGAAAAATATTCAGTTGGGCTTCCGCTT